CCCCTCAACATTATTTGCGTTCATTTATCAAACCTGTGAAATGATTGTAAAAAAAAAAAAAGTTTATTCATGTCGGTTTTCTTGAGAGCATATTTCTGCTGTTTTTGTCGTTGTCAGTCGCCGGTGATCGCGGGATTTCTTTCTCATTACCCTCTAAACCGTCTTTCCATCGACAATACCAATGGTGGCTGTTGACATTTATCGAAAATTTCAATACACACATTATAATTGAAAATCATAACTCATGAAGCGATTGCCGATTCGTTTGCTACTTATTTATAATAACTATATTATTATTCTTTTTTAAATTAACTACACCTATGTACTAATGTTTTTTTTCTACAAGTTGTCTAAACAACAGTTCGATAATCCTTCAACCTTACGATAATTGATATTTCAGTACATCAAATATAAGTTTCAAAGAGTTTTAAGATTTCATTTTCGTTAGGCTATCGAAAAATGTACAAAAAAAAAAACCAAAAGTTAATCTCTTATATTTTTATCACCTTATTCGATTTATTACACCCATATACACATGCATATATATATCTTTAGAGTTATTAGTTTGTTTGGAATAATTATTTAGAAATCAATTACAATTATGTATTTGATTTCTAAAATTGTTTGAATAAATACCGCACCAGACTAAAGATGGTTTGTTTGTATTGTAATTGAAAAAAAAAAAATGCTCACGTTTTATACAAAGAAACTGTTATGATTTTAGCAACGAGGGTAAGATAAAGTAAATGTAAAAATAATAATGGTAGACGAAACAGCAAAAATCTAAACTATATTTGACCTTGACGAGTGGAAAGCTTTTATATAAGTTGCAAAAGATCCTAATGGCTCTGAAAGTAAAAAAAAAAATTTTAAATATGTCAATACCAATGATTATCGCTGTAAAATTAATTACGCCAAGATAAGGTGCTTTCGAAATAAAAATACAATTACCATCCGTTTAGTCGACCAGATGTAGTTGACGGTCGTTATGATTGTATAATAATCGGATACTTTGTACTGTCACGATTTCAATTTCCACCAATGCAATGCATCATTCAGAAAACTGGCACTTTTTCTATCTTCCAGTGTCAAATAACTCGGAGATATTGGTTTAAAAAATGAAGGGACGACGACAAAAATAATAATTTTCATATTATACACATAAAAGTGTGTTCTATGACACCTTCATTGGTCATTGTCGTGTAACGCAAAATATTATTAATATAGCTAATATAATTTCATAGCTAAAAAAAACTAAATCCAACTTCAAGACGAGACTTCAGAATATTGTGACTGACATGTCAGTAGGGCTTTAGAAATATTTTAAACACATCATTTTATTACTTTGGAATGCAATCTCAATATGGTAATACGAATGATTTCGTAAATATTTCATAAACCGACATAAACACTGGTGTGAAATAGCATTATAGTATTAATATTTTGCGACTTGTATTGATGTCTTACATTATGACGAAAGCAAAAAAAAATAAAACTCAAAAGTCAAAGTTTCCATCATCGATAACACTCGTACCCTTGAACATCAAAAGCTCATAAATAACTCAATGGCATAATTTCACTGTTTAATAAGGATGATAGGGCTTAAGTTTTACTCGCATAACTGAAAAAACTTAAATTTCAGAAAAAATATTAGCTAAGAACTTAATTTCAAATTTGAAAATAGAAAAAAAGATCATAATTCCATCATTTTGTTCACTTAGATGGTTAATTACGTTTTTTATACATTAGAATTAAATAATAAAGCATCAAATTATTAATTTTAAAAACATTGTTATGATTTAGGATAGTTAATACATAGAGTATTTTAATATTAAAAGTGATCAAAACTTGAAGATTTAAAGAATGTTACGTTTAAGAATGATTTATATACTAATTATATTCTCATTCGATAGATAAGTACACATAGTATACTCGTGCAATGTATTTATTTATAATTTATATTAATCATCAACTCGAATTATAATATTAATTTTCTAGTATACCGGAACAGTATCATACTCTTCAAAATTACAAAAATGGGCATAATTTTATACTAAAATAAGCTTACAGCTGAATTGCAACAACTGGCTCTTTGTGTCGCTTTTCAAACTTTTTTAATAGGAGTGATTCCCTTCGAATGACGCCACCGATATAAATTCATTATCAAGCGATGTAAAAATGTCATATTATTACGACTTTTGTACGTGCGACTCCGTTTAATTACTGCAGTTAAATTATTGAAATATTTTTTTATTTTACGTTGGTACACATGTGATGAAGTTACACGAAATAAGTCAATTACCGTGGACGTTGCGTTGTGATCACCCCCTGTCCGGTTAGTAAAGCGAAGCACAGCGAGCGTATGTTGACATTTTAGACTACTGGACCTAATGAAATCAATCACGTCGCGATCCGATAGAGCCTACCACTCGATTATTGCAACATGTGTTCAAATTTATTCAACGTTATACTTCGGTGGGACTACATGTATATAGAAAGGTGGGCATAAAATATTTAAAATGTTAAAGTTAAGGTAAAAAGTTTTTTTTTTAAACTTTTTAACATAACTAGATAATTGATTTTATACTAAATATTTTAACTTAACTAGTGTAATTGGCAGTTGAAATATCTTAGCTTTTGGCAGTTGATTGAAAAATGATCTATCAAGTTAAACTCATATCAAAGTTAAATAATCATGTAAAATAAAGTGGTCGCATACACTGTAAATAAGATGTCATATTAGATTTTGTAGGTTGGCGGCTCACTTTTGGTTATTGAGTTCTGCACGTAGATATAGAATCTTATGTATAATGCATTTCAACTATAAAGATAAATAAATACGGTAGTGAATGATCTATTGTTGTATAATGTCATAGTATTTTTCAAAAACTTTGGCGCTACTGTTGTATATTATGATAAAAAAATTCATCTAAATTGTTTGTTATAATAATTATTTAGGAAATTAGATCTTTCTAAAAAACGCAGTCACTTTTTCTGGGATCTACATATTAATTAAAAAAAGTAGATTAACTTCTTTTAAACTGAGTTTATTTAATATTTTTCTCAGAACTTACTGAGTTAAATTTATGAATTGTTAACTGTTGACTTTTAAATTATCGACTTTGTGTAGCCTTTACTTAACTCGAGTTAATTATTTTCATTAACTTGCCCACCTTTGCGCATATACACGGTAATGTTTTCATAGGCCATCGGTGGAATTATGATTTTTCGAACAGAAAGACATCGCAGTTGCACTGATATTTATTATTCGCAATCGTTTCGACGACTAGCAGACTGCAGCTATCTCTCCGAGAGTGAGTTTATTGTTTGCCTGCCTTACAGCACTCATGTATTATTATTGTTATTGTTGTTATTGTTTTTATACTTGGTTTTTACTATTATCGGCGTCTAAGTTGATTATAGTCTTAGAATCAGAAACAATAATCATCATTATGTTTATGGTGCCGATTCACTTCGGATGCAACTTATTGACTGTTGTTGTTTGTGTTTCTCCGCGGCTTCTTCGATTTTATAGCGGTACTACAAACAAATGGGAAAATACGTTTGGAGTTTAATCAACGTTTCTATGGAGTTTAACTTTTATAATGCTCCATATTTGCTGATGCATTTTTCAGCTTAGTGTTCCAATGGGCTAAATACTGTTTTTGTTTTCATTTCAACGCCGCGGCGTTTTCCTCCCTAGATGCTTTCGGGAAAAGAATGCTGTGCAAACCATTAGTCTTGCAAATTATTACTATTCAGTTTAGTTTGGATCTCGCGAATTCGTGTGTAAATTGTGCGCGTTAATCATATGATGAAATCCAATTCGAGCCAAGTGCGCATTTTTTTTTTATTATATCTATCAGTAATTCCAAATGATGATTGCGAGTTGTGGTAAAATTAATTTTAAACTTAAATAATTGATTAATTCACCTCCTGCGCTATTTATAGTACATATTCGTCGTCAGATTCGTTCGATTTCATCAGGGTTTTTTGAATTACGAACAATTTAACTCAATACATTTAGAATTATAATGATCTAATACAGGGGGGATAACTTAAAGTTACTATATAAATATTTATTAACATTTACATACACGGAAATAATAAATTCAACACACATGACAACACGATACGAATGATACGAACAAGCTGATATTATTGAATAGTTCGGTAAAAAACAGCTAGGAATGAAAGCTATATGTATACATTTAGAAGTTTAAAGATATTTAATACCAGATAACAATTATTATATTGATAAAATAGAGTATAGAAGATAAACTTTAAAATTGCATGATGTAATTTGAAAATATAGAACAGGCCAGATAAAAAAAGGTTCGCGGGTCGCCAGTTGCACACCCCTGATCCAATATAATGACTGTAGTTTTCAATATAGTATCAATAATGGAATAATAAAATAATGATTTCAATCACCAAAGCGTTGTTGTTTATTATAACAAAATAATATTTCAAGTCACAAAAAGTATACATTTTTTTAAATAGTTTAATAGTTATAACTTTTCCAGATTTAGCCTTGAGTACATTGAGATAATTTAGGTATATAACACATTATATACATATACATATATAAATAAATAATATACCTCTCATAATATACAGAATTGTAACGATCGTTTATGCACTCAAAGAACAATATTTTGTTTTGGTCGTAAACACGTACTTGATTTAGTTAAAATATTACATATTAATAATAATAATATCTTTTTAATAACAAGTATTACATATAAGACCGGAAACGGCATACATAAATACGATGTAATACATATATAGTTACTAACCACTGTTAGTGCAGACGTTAATACGGATAAACCGTATTCCATACACAAGCAGTAGTACGTACTATTAAATAATATTGGAAATGGCGTACAAGATGATAATGATAATACAAAATATATAAATATAAGCTACCATTAATGCAGGCTTTAATACAGATAAACCGTATCCCAAACATAAGTAGTAGTAAATTATATAAGACTCACTGGGACCACATTGCTGTCGGGCGTTAATGATGACCGGATATTGATGGCACAATTGATAGATGGCGATGTAAATGTTCTCTGTAGATTGGTGTTGCTGTAGTAAACCTCGTGCACTGTAGTGACCACTAGCTTGGTGATTCCAGAACGCGAGGCAACTATACAGGGCAATAATACAGATAACCATATTCCACTGTGGTAACTGTACTCGTACTGGCCTCTTCAGCTCAGCGGTCGGATTATGCCACAATAGTCGCGCACCGGCCCTGTTTCTGCCCGTTGCGAGTAGTAGCTCGGTATCAGCGCCTGAATCATTTGTACCCTATTTTCTCGTTCTCTCCCTTTAAATTCATTCTATAGTTTCTGTTCTATATGTGAATAATTCTTTCTTGAATGTCAGAAGGGTTTGTTCACTTCTAACATACTCTGTCCAGTGACTGACAAAGTCGTAGGTAAACGGCCACCATTCATTCCCAGTACAAGTAGAAAGTCAGCGCGCTCTATTGTCAATTTCACCATGTCGAGCGGCCGACAAACTGATATCTTGCGCACGCACAGGCGCTTGATATATACACCATACAACGAGTGGCGGTATTTCGTTACAGAATATAATGTTAAAGTTTATTTTGCAATGAAACGAAAATCAATGAATCCAATAACATTTTCTGATAACTTCAAAGAAGACATTAAATTTAAAAATCTTTATATATTGTACACTTTTTATTTTGTTTTTTTTTTTTCACTCAACATGAAGAATATTAAAAAGAATACCTATAAGTGAACTTTTTTAAATTACAAAACTCTGAATTTTTTGGAGATTAATAAAATAAAACTAAAACATTTTTGTTTTTCGTAAATCTTATTGGAATGAAATCGTTAATTTTCTATAAAAAAAAAAAAAACGTTCCATGTCGGAAAAAGCACCGGAAATTCTGAGGATAGTAATCCATTAGACGAGTCTAAATGCAAATTATATACCGTCCGTATTTTTTTTTTCTTCAAACTCAATTTTTCCCCACGCATTGTACTTTATGTATACGAGGCCGCGTCACCGTAGTGCTGTATGCACGTATCTTTCTATGTCTAGTTAGCTGTTACTCCGAAGTTTTTTATCCGATAAAAACTTCAAAAATTTACATAACAAGGAGTTGTCAAAATGCATTGTGATGGCGGCAGAAGAATAATAGCACGTCTCAGACTTGATTAAAGGACGTTTATGTTATGATTCGAACGGTGCCTTATAACTTAATCAACGCTTACCGTTCGCGTTTCATACAAACGTCACTGAGTTTCAGTGAAATAATTCCGTAACATTTCGCAGAGTAAAAACGGCCGACCGGATGGGACGGGGGATAACTTTTGTTTGCATAAATTAGTTTACGGTTATCGCCGCTGCTGTTTCGGTTTTTTTGGGTGTAATCACTGCGTTCCCCGAAAACGGGTCAGCGGATTTTATTATAGCGCCTCGAGCGTGTGGCAGCGCCCTTTGGTCGTCTGTAATTTCATCTTATTCATCCGTCGCGATCGAGATGTGTGCTTGTGTTCGTGTACTTTTAAACGCGATTCAGTTATTCTGGACACGATATCAGGGCGACGAAGAGAAGAACACTTTGAAAAAGTATTTCGACGTGTTAGCTCCCGTCAAAACGATTGTACAACGTCGTCGGGAAACGCGTCCGAGGCGTAATAATGTACTGCACCTGCTCGACGAAAACCGCGAGAACGAACGAAATCCGTCGGCCGCCACACCGCCATCGCGCCGTGACGTAAACGACGTTTGTTCATACTTTATATACGAACGTTCGGTTAGCAGAGACATCCGAATTAAACGTGCTCGGCGTCCCGAAACTACCTAATTACATTTATAATTGAACAACCGTGTACACATATAGCTGCATAATGTGCGTTGGATTCGTCATCGAATAATCGTGCGGCGCGGCGCAGTGCAGTGGCTTAAATCGATACGCGACTAAGTCGATTATGTACAGATCACAAACGCGAGTAGGCGTATACGATTACAGTGATATTTAACATAACCATATCGACTGTATAAGCATCATGGCTTTATTAGCAGTTGGTTTTAGCAGTTGGTTTATTAGCAGTTGCACATTTTCATAAAATCAATTTATTTTAAGAAAATACGCAATTGGCGGGAATAAGTTTTAAGTAAGTGGTCCCGATTAATGGGATGAAAAAAAATATATGGGAAGTCTACTGCGTTTTTAATTGTTATAGTTGTATGCGGGATGTTCAATAAAATCGTCCAGAGTTTGTCAGGTTCGTAATGCTTAATTTTGTTCCTATTCTTATCGTTTAATAGATTGTGCTGTTCCAACACTTGGCTTACTTTAATTTTCTATGATTATTGAGTAATTTATATACATTTTCATTTAGCCATACATCGTTTTCCTCTAAAAACTCACCCTTTGTTTTTATACTGACAATTCGATGATAACCCCGCTAATAATTGCGTATCGCAGAATTCAATCAATCACTTTGGATTACTGCGAAATGTATCAAAATTATAATTTATCGCTATCCACTTTTCGGTCGTTGTCATTTGTCTTTAATCCGGCCGTGATTATAGACAGTCATTAAAAGTTCGGAATGACCAGCTGTCAGGTATAGTGTACAATCATAATTGTTAAATTTCGGGTTTTATATTATCATTTAACCCGGCGATAATCCTGAAAATCCTATTATTATTCCGTTCGGTGTCCTTCCCCGCACAGTTATTACACCGTTACCATCGCGATAACGTCACGTGTTGCTACGCACAAAGCTAACTGTTTGACGGCTACAACGTCTATGATAATTGCGATGTTGGGAAGCGGACATGGTGAAGGAACCTAATTAGAAATCGCTCGGGATTTTCGCTCACTAGTGCGAAGAAAAGCTTTTTGTAAGAAAATAAAATAAACGTGAGTGGTTGACACCCACAATAATACCACTCCAACCGCATCGGTTCGAATAATAATAAGTAGTTTATAGTTGATTCGTTAAATTTTCTTGGTACATCACTACACTTCCACTTCTCTTTCCATTTTAATTGTCTTGGATACGTTTTTGAAAACTAGTTTTCTATTATTTTATATAATGCATTATAACTAAATTTGTAATATGTATTTCGATAGGTACTTTTACATTTGTATTTTACTATATCATAATAAAATCGTGGTCAAAAATGCATTTCAGAGTGTAATAAGTCAATTAAAATTGGACGGAAAATGTTGGTGTTGTTGTTGTTATTGAAAAATCAACTAGTATAGGTATCGAAAAAAGAAAAATCCTAGATCCGATTAGTGTAATACCTTAATAATCCTGAACCCGAATACTATAGAAGTTTTAATTACGGAATCCAATCAGGATGTAGCCACCTCGACGTAGAGAGAATAGTCGTTAGTCAAATCGGCTAGTGGCGTACTTCATGGTAAAATAATTGTTTAGTAGTCGCGTATAAATTATCCGAGCTGGTGATAAATCTTGGTCATACGAATTCCACGATTGCTGTACCAATGAAACCGACCACGCACTCCGAGGAAAATATTTTGCGTCGTAATATTATGCAATTTAATCGGTTTTTCGCCCGAGTTTAGCCAACGAGCATACGGCGATGCCGACCGATCGTGTATCCGTTTATATATATATATATATATATATTATAGACGTTTTTCACAATATCTTCGCCCACGCGCCATTGCGTACATCTGCTGCCTGTCGGTCTGTCTATGGTCCGCGACGACAGTAAATCGTAAGTAGGAAAAGGGTTGGGGGTTGGTCTGAAATTGCAGAATAGCAGAAAAGGGTGATTTTGACAGTATACGGTGCAAGACGCACGGAAAGAGAGAGAGAGAGAGAGAGAGAGAGAGAGAGAGAGTGAGAGAGAAATGAAAAAAAACATTCGACCTCCCCCGCGAGACCTATCCATTAATTCGTTAGCGATGCGCTCGTACGCTGGTGGAGGTGGAAAGGGATCCGTCGTCAATCCGTCGAACGCTCGTCCTTTCCTTTTATATATATATTTATGTGTAGACGGGTTGAAAAATTCCTTCGTGGACCGCCGCCATGTACGCGCGTGTTAGCAACGAAATCTTTTCTCCGATCACCTACCCCATCACTTCACATCCCATCGAGGCGGGCCATTGATTGATAACGGTCCTCTGGTCCGGACGGCGCTAGATTAATTATCACCAGCCGTTTCTTAGTCCTTATCCCCCTTCCAGCACGTCTCCTCAGTCAATCCTTGTCACCATCGACCCGTGCTTATATATCGTCATCCGATATTCCGATCGACTTCACGCGCATGCCACTTAAATACTACTGCCATTGCACCGCACGTTGAAGGCCATCGAAAAATGTTTACATGTACCATAACAGGTATACCGGATTGCAGTGTTTTTCGTTCGAGTACACGTCGTGATCGTTCCGTTAGCCAAACGCGATCTACCGTCTCGAAACATCTACTCGATAACGATTTACACAACATTATACATATTGTTTCATCAGTACCACACTACGTAGACATCCGTTCGATTCGCTCGATAAAGAAAATCGGTGCTTTTAACCGAACATGCTGCTCTGTACACTCGTCTGATCGCAACATTATACGTATTTGTTGAAGAAGACACGTGTCGAAAGTGAACGCAACGACTTGTTTATACAAAGAACGAGTGGGGATTTGTTTTATTTTTAAAAAAAATTACTTTGGTAATTATCCGTTTCTGTTTTTCCGCGAAACACGTAAATTGAACAAATAGGTACGTCGAAGTACACTATAATAGCGCTTCGATTGCGTAACATCTGCTACTGGCGGTTTTCGATCACGAATTTACCCTACGAGCCTCATGCATCCTTCATCGGCAGATTCCGGAGACGATTTTGTTTTCCCATTAGAGACGACCCTTTTGTAGATTCGAGAATAATAACACACGTACAAGCATACCATGTAAGCCCAAATATTGTGCTCTCTGTATATATAGAAACATGTCAAAGTAATACTGTTTGTTTTATCACAACAAACAATCGCCGTCGATGCTACCACCTCCGGCGAGACGTGTGGACGATTAAATTATATGTATTAAGGGCGATGAGGCACTGGAAAAGCAAGTCATCAGTTGTGAAGGGATTGTTGTTTTCGTCTGATATTAGCGTAGTAATACAATACAGAAGTATAATATATATATATATAACATTTCAACACAGAAACTGCTCAATAATATCACTTTAGTACTGCACAAAATTGATAATGCAAACCGACCAATAATTATATATGAATATTTAAAAAACAAACAATAACGTATATCCAAACAAAATTTTGTAAATTTATGTAATTAAATTATATTAATAAATTAGTTTAAGTATTGACTGAATTGTGTTTACTGTTAAAATATCATAAATGGAACAATTCAATTTGTAATTGAGTTGAACATTTTAC